TTATTATTTGTCATTTTCATATATCATCAATAAAGCATTGGACGTTTTCTTGCATTACAAATTTTAGGCTCCTTGTTTTTCTTTTCTATCTTGAACTTTATCAAAATAGTTGTTGTCTTACACACACTCACATATCATAATGCAGATCCACATCCACTCTGGATCCCATTGATAACTACTCTGCTACTGCCAGTTATGACTTCGAAAATCCGATCAACCAAGTCGAGGACGAAGGTGAGGATGATTGTGAAGTGCCTGGGGAACTTGCTAGACTATTACTACAGGAAGAGAGGGCCATACAACCCCATGAAGAGCCAGTGGAATCGGTGAATTTGGGTACAGAGAAAGACAAGAAAGAGGTCAACATAGGCGCAATTATGGATCCTAGTGTCAAGCAACGGTTGATACAGATGTTACGCGACTATGTTGAGATTTTCTCTTGGTCTTATAAAGATATTCTTGGTTTAGACACTGACATTGTGGTACACCGACTGCCAACTAAAGAAGACTGTCCTCCGGTAAAGCAGAAGGTTCGCTCTATGCGCCCCGAGATGTTTGAGAAAATCAAAGCTGAGGTCATGAAATAGTTTGATGCCGGATTTCTAGCTGTCACTTCTTACCCGCAGTGGGTTGCCAACGTTGTTCCTGTGCCTAAGAAGGATGGTAAGGTGCAGATGTGTGTGGACTATAGAGATCTGAACAGGGCGAGCCCCAAAGACGATTTCCCACTGCCTCACATTGATGTTTTGGTCGTCAACACCGTGCAGCATAAGGTCTTCTCCTTTATGGATGGTTTTTCTGGTTACAATCAAATTAAGATGGCTCCCGAAGAAATAGAGAAGACAACCTTTGTTACGCAGTGGGGCACCTTCTGTTACAAGGTAATGCCTTTCGGGTTGAAGAATGCTAGGGCAACGTATCAGCGCACCATGGTCGCTTTGTTCCATGACATGATTCACCATGAGATTGAGGTTTATGTTGATGGCATGATCGCCCGATCCCAGACTGAGGAAGAACACCTAGACCATCTCCAGAAACTGTTCGACAGGTTGAAGATGTACAGGCTGAGGTTAAACTCGAACAAGTTCACCTTCGGGGTAAGGTCTGGTAAGCTGCTGGGATTCGTTGTTAGTGATAAAGGTATTCAAGTGGATCCTACAAAGGTGAAGGCTATACAGGAGATGCCAGCTCCCCGAACAGAAAAAGAAGTTAGAGGCTTTTTGGGACGTCTAAATTACATTGCAAGATTCATTTCACATCTGACTGCTACTTGTGAGCCAGGGATGGCAAGCAGACCCAAACCCGCGGGCCCCACCCGCACCCGCACCCGAGTCAACGGGTGAAACCCGAATTGACTGGGTTTGGGTTCGGGTTCGGGTGCCACCCGATATTTCGGGTGTGGGTTTGGGATAGCTTAAACCCGCACCCGAAACCCGAAACCACACCCGCTTATATGTTAAATTACAAAACTATCCCTAAATATATATATATTTCAATAATTAAAAATAAAATGTAGGGTTTACAACTTTCAACTTTCAAGTTCACGCAGTCACGCTCACTTCACTGCACCCACCGGCCACCGCCATCGTCACCTACGCCACCTCCGTCACCTTCGTCACCTCCGTCAGACTGTCACCTTCGTTAGTTCGTTTCTCCGTCTCCTTCGCCTCTTCACCGGCGCCTACAAACTCCTCCGTCATCTTCTTCATACAATCCTCTTCTCGCCATTCTCCAAAGGTACATGAATCACTCATCCATAGCTATTAATCAAAACGCAGCACCTCCATCAAAAACAACAAAATCCCCCCTTTGCTCTTTTGTTGAATCAGAAAGAAACAAATTGGTTTGGACTGAAGTAACACTCAACTCAATCCACCGTACAAACGAAAACCTCACCGGAAAAACCCACCGGAGTACCTCGTTGACCGCCGTAACAGCCAGAAACTCCGCCAGAAGGTTTTCCTTCTATATCTTGCTTATTTTTCTTTTCAGATTTTCATTCCTCACTGTGATTTGTGGCCACCATAGATTGTTACACGTTTCTCATAAATTTTGTGAATCAATTTTACTATTCATTGCTTCTTTCAATTTTCTAGTTTTTATTTGTAGAATTGCACATTTTGTATATATTTCTGGTATATAGTCTCACATGAAAATCTACATCATATGCTGGAATGGATTCACATCCGAATAACCGTTCTGATTCAATCAATGTTTTTAAAAATTGGTTCGACATGGTGAATTGTGAATAGTTTTGTTCGGATTCGGGCGATTTAAAGCATTTGAACTTCTGTCTATCATATGCTAGACTGATTGCAGTTTACACAATTCTTATCACTTGTAAATAACTTTTTCATGTTAATGGTTTGTTATGAATGATCTGGATTATTGTAAGTGCCTTGCGTTCTTATAAACAAGGGATTGCACTATTGTTACCATATAGACTCGATATTCGATAGAACAAACAAGAAGTTGAATTCAGTTTGTGTTTTGTCTATGTTTTACTAATGAACACTGAATTCTGAAAAACCCAAACACTCTATCTCTGTAGTCAACTTGTTCTCCGTGAACTTTGAAATCAGCTAAAAGATCGAGACCAATTGACTTTGATTCCAACAATAGCAAAATTTGTTGGCAGAGAATTTGGAATTTGATGAGTAGAGTGTAGAAGGTTGAGTCGAAAGATGCATAGCATCTTCCAATGGATTGGGAACTAGACTGTCTGTCTGTCACTACTACTAGCTAGGAAAGTCATTTTTATTTGTTGTTTGATTAAATATCAGCCAAACCTATTCAGGATATCCTCTGTTTGCTAAAATATACCTACCATCTGTCATTCACACACTAATATAGTGAATTTGCCATTCTTTTACTTGTTTTTGTTTGTTTTTATTATTCAACCGAGTTGCTTTACAAAAATTCTGACAGTAACACAAGTTATTGCAAATCATATTACAAAGAGAAAAAATGGTTATGACACGAGTCACATGCCTTTTCTCCAGCAAGTATTCTACTACTCTTTGTTTCATCCTTAGCAGTGTAACTAATATGCGCGTATTGTGCTTGAGTTGGATAATACTATTTATAGCCATAGAATGCTTGTACTGTCTTGTATGCATGATTGCTTCTGTTACATACAATTTTCATTCTTACTGAATTTTTATAGTCTCCTTTTGTGCTGGAATAAGAAAAATTGACGGGCTGCTAGGATTGTCAAGAAATTGTTGTCATTACTTGATGAGTAAATAATTTTGTATTCTACTGTAGGTTTTATTTTCTCCAAAGGGCATGATTAGTTGGTTACTGAAATAAGCCTGTTGAGTTACATATTTGTTCTTCTTATTAATTAATTTTGTATAATCATGATGTCTCTGTTGTATCACCTGTTTTATATCTTTAGATTAACCAGACTGAAGTGAATGTTATGATATTGATGTAGAGCATCATCTCTGCTCATGGTTGCAAGGATATGTAATCATATACTCTGCTCATGTTTTTCTTTAACCGTCAAAAAAGTTTCTGTGCAGTTTTATATCTCAATGTGGCAAAGAAGCATAACATTTGTGTCATTGTATATTATTTTATATAACTTTCTCTCAACCTGGTCTCATATCTAACTAACATGTGATATACTTTATTCACTCCTTTTTATAGCTTTTGGAGGAAGGCGGGGAAGGAAAGAATCCTCTTTCGTGAGATCAAAGCTTGAACATCCCACACAGGTTTTTAAAAAACTTCAAGAATTTTTTGTATTCTAAATTAAACTTATTTGCTTGTTTTAAATTCAGTTTGTGTTTTCTTGATTGAATAGGGGTTAATTGTATTTGTATTTGTATTATTGGGATTTGAAAAGTTGTGATAGTCATGTAGCTATTAAGATTTGAGATAGATGACATAGACTACATATTATTCCTATTAATTAGTGGTTTACCTTTATGATTACTAATTAGTCTCTACTTAACCCTTTGAGCTATAAAATTAGCATTGCCAAGGCTGTTAAATAATTTACACAATTAGCTTCAATGTACTAATTAGTCTCTACTTAACTCTTTTAATTTTTGTCTCTCAGCTTGAGACACTCCTAAAGTTTTTCTCGGTTCCAGCATATCGAAACCGGGTGTTGAAGGAGTACATTGCAGCAATTTTGCACACTTAAGGCAAGGCTAGATCCTTTGTCAATAAAAGCTTAGAATTATCAACTTGTATGATATTTATTTACTCTTTTGTATACTTCTATATCAGGTATTTTGTTAGAAGGACGCGACCAGAATATAGAAGCTCTCAATGCTTCTATTAATGTTGCACTAATTAAATCAAACCACATTCCTAACAAAATCTTAATGACTGCTTTGATTCACAAAATGGGTACAAAGGCGTTGCCTGCTGCAAAAAGCATGTTGTCTGATGCACTTAGAATAGAACCAAACAATCAGATGCCTTGGTATTACTTGGGATTGGTTCACAAGCACGATGAAAGTTTCAACACTTTTTTTGAATATTTTGGTATTACTTGGTATTGAGTGATGTTGCAGACTACTTTCAGGCAGCTTCAATGCTGGAAGAATTAAATCCCGTTGAAAGTTTCAGCACTTTTTTTTGAATATTTTGAATTTGGAATGGTTGATTCTGCAACATGTAGTAAGATCTATACCATTATGATTTTTGGTTAATACAAGAAGACACAATAGAAATAGTTTTAGCAAATGGTTTCCCTTTTTTTTATTGATTTGTCATCACAAATTAGGCTTAAAGAAAAGAAATTGAAATTTTATTTAGAAAATAAAATGAATTGTAAAGAACTTTGATCGGTAGAGATTTTTTTTGTAACTCAATAGCTGCTCAGCCATGTAAATGTATGTTGTTACTTGTTCAAACATAATCATTGTTCCAACATGTGAAAGTAGAGATTCATTTTTCTCCAACTGTGTTGGTTTCTACTATTTTGTTATTTTCTTGAAGTGGGATGTTTATGAAATTTCTTGTTGTTTGTAGTAGGTAAAATGGATCAAGTGAACACAACCCTGAAACCAGAAGGATCATCTAATCCTACACAAGAAAGTACATGTCCAACTCAGGAGGTATCTTCTAATCCGAATCCGACACCTGAACCTGATATTGGGCAACAAGAAGAAATTGATACAATTTTAGAACCTGCATCAAAGAAACTTAGAAGTAATGTGTGGCAAGAATTTAAAAAGATGAAAGTGAATGGAAAAGATAAGGCTGAATGCATCTGGTGTAAAAAACAACTTAGTGGCACTTCAAAGAATGGAACAAATCACTTGAAAGGACATCTCTTGAGTTGTATTCAAAAAAAGATCAAGACTAGAAACCATGACAAAGGACAACCATTTCTCCTACCGACTATCTCAGAAGGAAAGCAAGAGTTGGGAATTGGAACTTATGATCCAGAACATGTGAAGAAGTTGATTGTTGAAGCTATTATTATGCACGATTATCCACTATCAATTGTGGATCACATTGGTCTTGGAAGAGTCTTTGTTTCTCTCCAACCATTGTTTAAAGTTCCTACTCGAAACACAATCAAGAAGGAGGTATTGAAAGTTTATGATTTTGAGAAAAAATGTGCTATGAAGATGTTAGATAACCATGAAGGGAGAGTGGCAATTACCACAGATATGTGGACTTCAAGCAACCAAAAAAAAAAGGGTATATGGCGGTTACGGCTCACTATATTGATGGCTCGTGGACTTTACAGAGTCGAATCTTGAGGTAACAATGTTTATATTTTATAACTTAATTGTATCTTTTTTTTTATTCTTAATGACAATAAGTGAAAGACTTGTTTTTTGTAAATATTATGTTAGGTTCATTTATGTTCCAGCCCCTCACACTAGTGAAAGACTTGCTGAAGCACTTGTTAATTGTTTAATGGACTGGAACATTGATTCAAAGCTTTCTACGATTACTTTAGATAATTGTAGCACAAATGACTCAATGATTAGGAAAATTAAGGATAAGTTGTCGTTGGAATGTTTAATAAGGGATGGGTCTTTGTTACATATGTGTTGTTGTGCGCACATCCTAAATTTAATTGTTCAGGAGGGGCTACAAGTGATTAAGGATGGCATAGAAAATATTCGGGATAGTGTAGGATTTTGGAGTGCTACACCTAAAAGGTATGAAAAATTTGAAGATACCGCTAGACAATTGAGATTATTTGCACTAGAAAGTTAGCTCTGGATTGTCCAACAAGATGGAATAGCACATATAAGATGCTTGATATTGCCATAGAGTACAAGGATGTATTTATTCGGTTGAAGCAACGTGAGTCTTTGTACACTTGTCTTCCAACTAATTCACAATGGCAATTTGCTAAAGATGTTTGTGGGTGCTTAAAATTATTTAATGAAGTAACTGAGTTGATTTCTGGTACAAAATATCCAACTGCCAACTTGTACTTTCCTAAGATTTGTAAGATTAAGTTGGCAATAGAGGAATGGAAGAAGTCCTCCAATTCAATTATTGAGATGATGGCCACAAGAATGATGGAAAATTTTCAAAATTATTGGAGTGGTGTTCATTATATGATGGGAGTTGCTGCAGTTTTGGATCCTAGGAAGAAGATGGTTGTACTTAATTTCTGGTTTCCTAAGTTGTATGGAGAAGAATCAAGTGCACAAGTTAGTAGAATCAAAGACATGTGTTATGATTTGCTCAATGATTATCAACAGATTAAACTTAGAGATGCACAACCTACTGCTCCATCCATTGGTACAACTGCTATTATTGATGACGAGGCTGAATTTGATGCATACGTTGAGACAATTGCCGTTGCCGAAGACTCAAGTTCAAGTGTTAAGTATGAGTTAGATCATTATTTGAAAGAGCCAGTTATAAAAAATACTCCAGAATTTGACATTTTGAATTGGTGGAAGGTAAATGGAGTTGTGTATCCAACACTTCAAGCAATTGCAAGAGATGTGTTAGCTATTCCTATCTCTACATTAGCTTCTGAATCGGCCTTCAGTAATAGTTGTAGAATATTGAGTCCTCATCGTAGCCGACTTAACTGGACTACCGTAGAGGCTTTGATGTGTGCTAGGAGTTGGCTATGGGCTGCTGAGAATAACGGTATGTCATTGTCAAATTATTTTTACTTTCTACCTTAATTTTTTTGTTATATAATGTATTACTACTTTGGTATGTCATTGGCAAATAATATATTACTAATTTTTCTTGTTATATAATATATATAGGAATTTTTAGAGTTGCAGAAGAAATTGCTACTGTGTTGAATGAAATGGAGTCAGACGATGAAGGTATTTTGTACTTCATTTAGTGTATAAGTTTTAAGCTTTAGTGTTTTATTTAACATCAATTTATTTGTTAATACAGCTGAGTTGATGGAAGGTTGTTTGGGTTACCATTTTGAAGATTAGAAGTTGTTGTTTCTATATGTTAACATGGTGAGTATTATTGTTTCTATCTTCCACCATTGTTGCCCCGACTAATTTGCACTAATGCTTTTGATATTAGACAGTTCTTTTAGTGTTGTGCTTATGTTTCTAGACAGTTCAAAAACATGATATTTAACGCGCATGCAAGCATGCTGAAAGTTAGTAGACAAATATTATTATAGGCAGTTTTATTCCAGTTGCAAACATGATAAATTATCAAGAATATGGCATGTTAAAATCATTACAATTTAAAAGCGATATGTTATCTGTGTTGTAAGCTATTACATCTCTGTATGTATCAAGAAGTGGTCTAAAGGATTCTTCTTATTACAATTTAAAAGTTCAGCATTACCAAGAATTAAGTTACATGTTTTATATGTTCTAAGTTTCACATGTTTGTTATTATAATTTAAAATTATGATGATAATATCTATTAGTGTTTCTTAACATGTGAAATATATTTTCTTTGTAATAGGTAAAATATATCAAGTGAACACAACTCCGGAGCCGGAAGGAACATCTAATCTTACACAAGAAAATTGTAATATATTAGCTTGTTGTTGTTGAAAAGTTGTAATTTGATTGTAGAATTTAATTTTAATTGTAATGTTAAGATGTTGAAGACTATGTTAAGATAATTGTAATTGCATTTTCTTGAAGACAATGTAAAGAGACCTTATTTTAATTGGTTTTTTTTTTTGATTTTTGGTGCGGGTTTGGGTTTGGGTGAAAAAAACCCGAACCCAACGGGTGCGGGCGCGGGTGTGATTTTGTCACCCGAATAGCCATCGGGTTCGGGTTTGGGTGAAAAAACCCGAACACAGCGGGTGCGGGCGCGGGTGTGATTTTGTCACCCGAATAGCCTTCGGGTTCGGGTTTGGGTTCGGGTGATGATTTCGGGTGCGGGTGTGGGTAGTGTGAAACCCGCACCCGACCCGACCCGTTGCCATCCCTATTGTGAGCCGATCTTCAAGCTACTGAAGAAAGATCAAGTGGTAAAATGGAATGATGAATGTTAGACCACCTTCGAAAGGATCAAGGAATACCTACAAGAGCCACGTATTTTGATGCCTCCAATTGAAGGAAGACCTTTGATTTTATACTTGAAAGTACTGGATAATTCAATGGGGTGTGTGCTGGGGCAGCTTGACGAGTCTGGCCGAAAAGAGCACGCTATTTACTACCTTAGCAAAAAGTTTACCGACTGTGAGACCCGATACTCACTGCTTGAGAAAACTTGTTGCACTTTGGCATGGGCTGCTCACCGGCTGAGACAGTATATGCTGACTCACACTACCCTATTGATATCAAAGATGGATCCAATCAAGTATATCTTCGAAAATCCTGCCCTGTCCGGAAGAATATTAAGATGGCAGATGATCTTAACTGAGTATGACATCCAATACACAACCCAAAAAGCAATCAAGGGGAGTTTATTGGTGGATCATTTGGCGCATCAGGCCGTGGATGATTACAAATCCATGAATTTCGAGTTCCCGGATGAGAACATCATGTTGGTGACCGACTATGAAGAACCTGGATTGGATGAAGGACCCGAGGAGGGATCTCGATGGTCTATGTATTTTGACGGAGCCTCAAATGCGTTAGGTAATGGCATTGATGCTGTGATTATATCTCCTGAAGATTGTCATACTCCGTTCACCGCTCGATTATATTTTAACTGCACCAACAATATGGGTGGAGTATGAGGCATGCATCATGGGCCTTCGAGCAGCTATTGACCTGAGGATTAAGTTCTTGAGTGTATTCGGAGATTCTGCTCTAGTGATTAGTCATATCAAAGGAGAGTGGGATACGAAGCACCAAAATCTTATTCCTTACAAAGACTATGTACTGAAGTTGCTCCCACACTTCAAGGAGATAACCTTTGAACATTTCCCCAGAGAAGAGAATCAGTTAGCAGACGTGCTAGCCACCATGTCTTCTATGTTCAAAGTCAGATGGGATAATGAAGCTCCCCAGATTACCATCGAGAGGTTGGACGAAGCCGCACATTGTTGTGATATTGAGACTGAAGAGGTAGCAGATAAACCCTGGATTCACGAGGTGAAAAGGTATCTTGAGGCTTAAGAGTACCCCGGGGGTGCATCTGTTAATGATAAGAAGTTTCTGAGGAGATTCGCGGCGAAGTTCTTCATCAGTAATGGTATCTTTTACAAGCGTAACCATGACTCAACCTTACTGCGATGTATGGAAAAGAACGAGGCAGAAAGGATTATGGAAGAGTTACATGAAGGTACTTTCGGAACTCATTCCAGTGGACATACCATGGCGAAGAAAATCCTACGGGCAGGATATTATTGGTCTACTATGGAAGCCGATTGTTATCAGCATTCTCGAACCTGTCATAAGTGCCAAGTCTATGCTGATAAGGTGCATGTACCTCCACTTCCTCTGAATGTTTTGACAGCTCCTTGGCCTTTTGCAATGTGGGGCATCGACATGATCAGAGAGATCAGACCTACTGCATCCAATGGACATCGTTTCATCCTGGTAGCAATTGAGTATTTCACGAAGTGGGTTGAGGCAACTTCCTTTGATACAGTAACCAAGAACGTCGTGACGCGGTTCATCCGACACAACTTGATCTGTCGATATGGTGTACTAGAGAGGATCATCACGGATAATGGTACAAATCTCAACAATACAATGATCATTGAGCTCTGCAAACAGTTTAAGATATAACATCACAACTCTTCTCCTTATCGGCCGAAGATGAATGGGGCTGTTGAAGCGGCTAATAAGAACATCAAGAAAATTATGCAGAAGATGACGGTGACATACAAATACTGGCACGAGATGTTACCATTCGCTCTTTATGGGTACCGCACCTTAGCGCGGATGTCAACAGGGGCAACACGCTACTCTTTGGTGTATGGCATGGAGGCAGTCCTGCCCATTGAAGTCCAGATACCCTCTCTTCGAATTATGAAGGATGCAGGTTTGAGTGAGGACGATTGGATCCAGACCCGGCTGGATCAGATGAACTTAGTCGATGAAAAGAGACTTACTGCTATTTGTTAGGGTCAAACGTATCAAAAGCGGATGATCAAGGCTTTTAACAAGAAAGTCAAACGACAAGAGTATCAAGTCGGGGATCTGGTGATCAAACGCATCATACTACCACAAGGTAATCCCAGGGGCAAATGGACCCCCACTTATGAAGGGCCATTTGTGGTTAAGAACATCTTCTCAGGAGGAGCTATGATTCTAACCACCATGGATGGTGACGACCTTCCTCACCCCGTCAATGCAGACATAGTGAAAAAATACTACGCATAATCAAAGACCCACTAGGTTGACTGGCCTAGGCAAAAATAAGGGCTTCCCGGTGAACCAAAAGGTTCGGGCAAAAATAAGGATTGAAAATGAAAAAACTGTACACCCGGCAAGTCGAAAACCTGAAAAGGCGGCTTGGGGAAAAAAGGGTATCCCGGTGGACTGAAAACCCGAAAGGACGGTCCAAGCAAAAATTAGGGATCAAAGCGTAACACTATGTTTCGTTGGATCATCTTGCAACCAGACTTCGGTATTGACTATCAAGCTTGGACGGCACCGATCAATATGATATACCTTTAACCAAGTAGTAAAGTGATGAGATGCTTGAAGATATAAAGGAAATAGCAGAGTTGGAACCCAGTGGGATTGTTCACATAGTTGTTTTTCTTTGTTTTTCACAAATTGTATAATTTCTATCTTTCGGCGGCGTTCTCTTACTAGGATGTCAACCTCTTGTAAAAAATGCCTATTACAGGA